TAGCCTAGCTTCAGAGATGTTTGTTTCAAGTATCACTCGGACTGCTCGTGCTGGCCCATCCATGTCCACCACAAGATGTCCATGACTGGTAGCGAGTACTCCTTGCGCTTGAGCTGCTTTGTTGTGTTCAACCTGCCCGACACTTGGCGTGTGTCTGCAATATGCTCAGGCGACATAAATCTACTTTGCATGCTGATGGTATTGGCGAACGTGCGACGCTGGAACATGCAGCCCAGAGGCACAAACACAGCATCACCAGGCTGCTGGTACACTCGGTAGCATTGGGCGGCTTTCCCGTACGTCTCGAAAACATCGCTGCAGCCATTGTCATCCATAAATATGGCCTGGCTATAAATGACATTTCGCTTATTGCTGCCGCTTGCCTCTTGCTCGTCCACACCCAAGTACTCGCACAGAATGTCCAAGGCGCTCGCCGGATAAATATTCCACTCGGCGATGCGCTGCGCTGGCTCGTTAGCTTTTTCTGTGTGGGTCTGGCGAGAATTTGCACTGGCTGCCTTTTTGCCTCGTGTAGCCGATTTAGTGGTGTTCTTTTTACGGGATGATGCAGTCGAGACCTTCTGTTTAGACGGCGGCGGCAGGGCTTGTTCTTTGGCGCCCGCATGCAGCATTAAATGTACAAAGTCAGCAGCCTCGCAGCGCATATTCTCGCAGCTGCCATCGTCTCGCGTGCCATACATAAAATGGAGCTCAGGCTCAAATTCCGGTCTGGTATACTGGGCTGGTAGGCGGTTGATCAGATTCAGTTGCCCATCGCGCGCTACATATTCTTGAAACGGGAGAATTGCGGCTGTAGAGTTTAGCAATTGCTTAAGCAGCAAACACTGCTCCTCACTGGCTGGACTGGCGGCAGTGATAACCACATCCTTCCCCTTTGCCGGTCGAGTCCGGGTTGGCTTTGCGCTTGCTTTTGTACGAATCCTCTTGGTTGGCGGCTCGACATCTGTGCTTGCAGCTGCGAACTCCAATTGCGACTGCTCCTCCAGGCGCACATTCAGATTTGGCTTGGCAAGTGCACAGAGGCGCATCGAGCGTAGCTTTGCATTGCAGTCCTCCCATTCATCGTCGTCATCATTTGAAGAATGCGACGACCCCTGGCCGCTGAATAGTTGCAAAAAGCGACTAAGCGACCAATTGCCCATAGCCACCAGCCGCGACTCTGCTTTGCTTACAGACACACACAACTTGCCGAGTATGCACTGCAAGGATTCTGGCGTCCACCCTTCTTGAGCCTGCTCGGTTAGCAGTCCAGTGACGACGACAACCCAGCCCTCCTCCCACAGCCTAGAGAACTCGCGCAGAGTCAAGTTATCGGCGGACACGTACACTGGCGGGGCCTGCCATGGACTCAAAAGCCCACGCGTCGACTGCAAGAGCAATTCGAGCTTTTCATCCCAGACACTCTCCAAGTAATTGGTCTGCGAGTGAGAGGGACCAGCACCAGCCGTCTCGCTACTGGAATGGACATCTAGCGCGCTTGGGCGCAGTGTGGGGTCCGCGCCAAAGTCGACATCGCCCAGACTCGCAATGATTTGAGCGTCGCTGTCAACTAAATCGAGCTCCTCGTTGGTCCATGACGTGTCCTCGCTTTGATTCAGATCATCAAGCCGTAGCTCGTTGGCGCATAGCGATATCGAACTGTATCTAGCTTTCTGAGTATCGTCCAAAATATCGCAGTATCGGACAATTCGGTTTGCCTTGCACATCATTAGAACTAGCTCGTCCTCACTGTAGTATGACACCCGCAAAAACTGCGATTTCTTGTGAAAGGACCGGTCTGTCACAACCTTGTCTCCCTCCGTGCGATTGTGCTGTTGGCAACAGGATATATTTTTCCCTCTGCCACCAACACTTCTCTCGATAGTAAGATAGCGAAATGTGACGCCCGAATCATCCCAGGAGGTAAAGCACTCGGGGCAAATATTGCGCATGCACAGGCAGCACGAAAAGAACGTCGAGAATATCGGCGCCAGACACTCGTCACAGTTCTGGTATGGCCCGGAAGGAATGTTGCGCAGGATGCACGGAATTGGCGCACATTTAAACAGTGGGTGCACTGCAACATCGCTCTCCCTCAGCTCATCTAGTGCCCTTGGTGAGGCAGTGTTGTGGAACGATATTGTACTGTTGCCAGTGCGACGCATGTCGCCGATCTGCACGTCCCGCACAACAGCCAGCTCAAATCTTAGTAGTGATTTTATTGCAGAAACCGTCATACACATGACATGAAACGCGACCCACTCGTTGTCATATCTTGCTACGTACCGCCTGGGGAGTGCAATTGGCATGGTACGTATGCGAATAGCTGGAGCCTTTTCACACTCAGAGCGAAAGACCGGGCACAACAGATAACGCATAGATGTGATACCGTCGACCATCTCAATCTTTAGCTCGGAAATGTACCGAACTGACACACATCGGCATGTAATTCCAGCAACGCGTCGAATGCAAGCGCTACACTGCGTTAAACACGTCTTTACAATTGACCGACAGTTATTTGTCTGAGGGAGCAAGCGCAGGGTTACTTGTCGACAACTCGGGTATAGCACTGCCCATCTGTCGTATTTGCTCCGCTGGAATACAAACCAGGCCGACGGCTCCGCTGGAGTAAAGAACTCATTCAATATGTACTGCATTGATGGAGATGGCTGAGAACGATTGTCTGGCGCCGCCAAAATATGCGCAAACTCTAGCCTGCTCGCTTTCACAAGCTCTTGCTTAAATGACGCCTCGCATATCACATCCGGGCCAGGCAGTGCAGCACAAATTTCGTCTAGCGGATGTATATAGTCTGACTCAGAGTCAACGTCCATCGCCATGCCCTCATACTTGTAAGCACTAAGCATATGTATAGTCGCCAGCTGCTGCTGCTGCTGCTGCCGCGTGGCGATACCTACTTTTAAAAAGATCGTATAAAGTCAACGCAGCTTGTTTAGCACCTCGATCATCATTCATTTAGTGACGCCTTGACGCCCTGGCACATACTTGGACCAATATCTACTGGAGCCAGAGTTTGTGGCTCTGGCAAGTCGGGTGTAGCGCTCTCAATCATGGCCAGCGTATCGTAACAGTGGTCCGACGCGCTCCTCTCTTGACGAAGACTGCAGCTAGGAGACGGAAGGTTGGGGATGTCTTTGACAATGTCCATAGTGATATCGCAGTCCATATTGCTTGGAGTGTCGCTTATGTCGTCAGACCTAACCTCGACATTGGGCGGAGTGGACTTCTGCTGCTGCTGCTGCTGCGAGTGTGGTGAAAGAGGCGAGTCTCGGCCGTCCACCGGTAAATTCAATATTGCTGCACGATTGGCTCTCTACTCCCTTTGTCGCAGCATAGCCGCATTCCTGTCTAGTGGCTTCCTTGGCGGCATGGTCGGTGATCAAGGTCGCAAGAAAAGATAAAATTTTAAAGCAAAGGATATGCACACGCAACAAAGAGGAAGAAAATGGTTATTGACGCTACGTGTATCCCCGAAAAGTAACGTTTGATTTATTGATTGATTATCCTGTCGATTACCGCGATTCCTGTGGCCAAGTACTCAATGCTATCCGCGACGACCAAATGCCGATATATAGAGCACACGTGGCTCTCTGCTTCAGCCATTCTAATGTTACCAACACTGCATTTGTGTGTGCGTTATTGGGAAGCAGCAAGCACTTGCTAGGGTCCAGCCCAGTTTTGCCCGACTACCAGTTCAGCCACCTGCCCTACTTTTGCGACTAGCACCATGAATGTTTTCCACAGAATATTGCTAGCCCAGTGCCTTCTGAGCTCAATTTGCTAGGCAGACGCTTGAGCTATTAAAGTTGTGATTCTAATTTATTATACACATAGTGAAACAAACAAGAAAACAAGAGACTGAACTCAGGTACACTGAACTTAGTATACACAAGTTTGTAATAAGAGCCAGAAACGACGAGCTTGCATTGCTACTCAAGAATTTAGCAGCAATTCTAGACCATACAAACTACTATATCAATATGTTGGACAATCCAAAATACTGACATGCCTATACAGTGTTTCGGCCATAAAAATGTAGTTTCATATAGTCTTGGATCCTATTAGACTTTGAAAACAAAGGATTATCCTTTCGCTTAGCCTTGCATTGAGCCTTGAGATGTTCCAGGTCCTTTTGTTGAAGCACTAGAATATACTCGGGCAAACCTCCCAGGGCATCATCACTTGCTTCTAGGGTCTGGACTCCATCGTAGTTGATTGTAAATAGTATGAAATCTTTGGCGATCTCTTGTATTCTAGCAGCATTAGCTACTCTTTCCGATTCTGATTCAGTCTCCAAGTCGTAGATTAACTCGTCGTTCTCGTAGAGCATTTTAGCCCTATACGTCTCTATTGCAAGATAGTAAATGTCTCCTCGCTTCTTAAAGTTGCCAAAGTCCAGTCTATCACCAAAAAAGCAGAATCCGCCATCTTCATAAAATATAAATTCGGTCATTGTATGTGCTGGTAGTTGATGAAGTAAGTGTGGCAAAGTTGCATGAGCAAAACAAGATAGCCCTGCAGCCTCCACAGGTTTATATATCCCACGAAGTTCTCCAATCAATGGTTGTAGCCACAGTCAACCTTGGCCATGTGTCAAAGCCATCACTCGCAGTGCGACATGTGAATGCCTGTAAATTCAGATGGATAAGGACTCTTGACCAACAGCTGGCCTTTCAACTATTGTAACATAAGCTTGTGACAAGCAACATGTGCATTGATTGTTAACCACGCTGAGGATCGCAAATCAATTTGTAGTCGATTATTGGCAAAGCTGAACGCAGCAAACCAACGCTCAAAAGGGCTGCAAAAAAAAGAGCGTGCAAAAGACCCTCAAAGAGCTGCTTTGAGGAAAAGAAGCTCCCAATGAGCGCGGCAATTCCTTTGTAAGAGCTTTGGTGTGTCGCTTTAAATACACATTTTTGCGCACAGACACTGTCGATGCAAAAGAAGCTACATTTGTGTGCTTTCACGCTTAAACATCCGCAATGGTCCAGTGGCAGGATATCAAGTTTTCGCCTTGAGGGTCGGGGTTCAATTCCCCGTTGTGGAATACCTTGTTCTTTTGGAAAATATACATAACATGTGTCACATTTTTTAGGTCTCAGGGCCAAGTTTGTCGGGTACTAGACCACTTGAATTTTTGTGAGTCTATTTCTAAGCAAAGCAAGCAAGAGATGAAGCGCCAGATCACCATCTGCTGGCACCAGCCTTATATTCCATTTTGTTGAAAATGAAGCTTTGTTGACTAAAGGAAACAAGAGAGAAGAGCAGGAAGCAAAGCTGAGTATGAAATAAGAAGGGATTGGCCAGAGAAATCAGGCACAGAAGGGAATGGAACCCTTTAGAATGAGCAGAGCGAATAATCGACATATGCCACAAAAGGAAAGAGAGGCTGAAAGGAGTAGAATTCCAACAGCCAGACTGTGACTCCGCACCCATCTCTTAGGTACAGATGGCGACACCTGCGACAAGTACCACCGCCTCCTTGGCGATGCTTTTAGGGAGTGGGTAAAGGAAGCTAGGCGGTTACTAGCGCTGAACCCGAATGCAACCACATTTGAGGAAGCAACGGCAGCGCTGGAGTCACTCAACGACGATTTTTGCAGCATAGTTCGCGACGCTCTGGAGCAGTCGGTAGGGCGATGCCGACCGCTCAGACCGAGACAGCCGCCATGGTGGTCACACTCACAAAAAGAGCCTAAGAACCGCTCAGTACTTGAACATCGCTATTATCAGTCAATGGCAGAGTGTGTGCTCGCCAGCGAGCATCTCGCTATCAAAGCTCACGAGGACACGTTGGAAGCCCAAAATGAGTTCAACACGGCCTACCAGCAAGCAGCGCTCGCCTGGTGGCAGTGCAGGCAGCGCCTGTTGTCTGCAGGCTCAGTTAATGCCATGATGAGCAGCATTAGCCGCAGCATCCCAGGCCAAGCAGAGCTCTGCCTCGCCAAGCAGTATCCAGCATGAGGATAAGCAAGCCATCAACGCCGTTCAGGAGCACTTTGGCATAGTGCTAAACCACAATGCCAGCCCGATCAGCATCGTTGACGAGGAGTACAGACACCACCTACGGAAGAGTCGGACCAATCCATTTACAGCTGATGCTGTAAAGCGCGCGCTCAGACGTTGTGGATCCAACAAAGCACCTGGTCC